GGGGATATATTCCTAGAAGTGGGATCACAGGGTCAAATGGGAGTTCCATTTTTAGTTTTTTGAGGAAACTCCATACTGTCTTCCATAGTGGCTGCACCAGTCTGCATTCCCACCAGCATGCACTTCCTGGACTTGTAAGTCTATTTCTTTCACCAGGTAGAGGAAATTTTCAGTCATTATTTCTTCAAGTAGGTTTTTAATATCTTGCTCTCTCTCTCTTTTCCTTCTGGCACCCCCATAATAAGAATGTTGTTAAGCTTGAAGTTGTCCCAGAGGCTCCTTACATTATCTTCATATTTTTGGATTCTTGTTTTCCCCACTTCTGATTGGATGTTTTTTTTCTTCTTCATATTCCAAATTGTAGATTTGCTTTTCAGAACCCTCATTTCTACTGTTGAATTCCTATGAAATAATTCTTTACTTTAGTTAATGTATGCTTAATTTCTGTTTTGTCCTTTTTCATGTCTTTGACATTCTCACTAAGATCCTTGAAAGTCTCACTAAGTCCCTTGATGTGCTCATTAATTCCCTTGGAGCTCTCATTAAGTCCCTTGAAGCTCTCATTAAGATCCTTGAGTAACCTTTTAACCATTGTTTTGAACTCTGTATTCAGTAGTTTGCTTGCTTCCATTTCTTTCATTTGTAACATATTTCTTTGTCTCCACATTTTGGCTGCTTTCCTGTATTTGTTTCTATATATTAGGTAGAGCAGTTATGTCTTCTGGAATTGGTAGAGAGGCCTTGTGTATTAGGTGTCCCATAGGGCCCAGTGGCTCAGTCTCCCGTCACCTGAGTTAGGCACTGTAGTTGTGCCCTTGTGTGGGCTGTGTGCAAAGTCTTGTTGTAGTTGAGCCTTGATTGCTGTTGGCTCACTGGGAGGAATTGATCTCAGGCCAAGTTGCTGTGCAGGAGACACCCCCTGTGGAGCAGAACTTGCTTTAGTACGGCTTGGGTGCTCACTAGTCTGCCCCTTGAGTGTGTCACTTGTGAATGTGTAGAGTTGTAATCTGGTATGGTCTGAAGCTGCTCACCGGGTGCACTGGTTCAGGGACTTCCTGGGAGTTGCAAAGCCAGCCAATACCTGGGGCCACCCATCAGGAGCTACAGAGAACTCTACAAATGGGTGCTACTTGTATTGGGCTAGAAAGTGCCCAGATGATGCTCAGCTGTGGCACAAGGCAGGTTGGTGCTGGAGCCAAGTATTGGGCATTTTATTGATTGGTTTGAGACATGTTGACTCCAGCTGCTGCTTGTTTAAGAGATTTTAGCAAAGTCTGAAGCTTTAGCTAGGACAGGCCATTCATATGGAAAAGCAGCTGCAAACAGCTTGGGTGGGGCTGTAAATTGGATAGGGCGGCATCTCAGGGAATCACCAGGGCAGAGGGAACAGTGTGGGTCATACTGATGGAAACTCAGATATGGCTGCCAGTCAGCTCTGCAACAGGGAGGTTCCAGCACAGGAACGATGATCCCTGTAAGCACCCCTGTCTGGGAGAAAGCCACCCCTGAATTCCTGCCTCTACATCAGACAGTCTAGTTCTTTCCCAGATGTCTCTGGATTCCCCCCAATGTCGCCACCTGGCACTGGAGCTCAGGGGAAGCGAGACCGTGTAGGTTTATGTGTGGGCCCTTTAAGAGGAACAGCTGTGAATCCAGCAGCCTCCATGTCACTCAGCCATAATCCCCGCTGGTTTTTATAGCTCAAAATTATGGGGACTTCTCTTCCAAGCTCTTGAATCCTGGGATGGGTCTGGTTTGTGGCTGGGACCCCCTGCTTCTCATGGGAGGCCTTTGAGATATCCCTCCCGATTAAAAAACTCCACATTTGGGTGTCAGACCAACCTATTCTGTGCCTCTGCCCCTCTTACCAGCCTCAATGTGCTTTCTTCACTTCCCTAGTTGTAGGACTTCCATTCAGCCATGTTTCAGGCAGTTCTGAGTGATAGTTGTACTGTATTTTAGTTGTAATTTTGATGTGGTTGTGGGAGATGGAGAGCACAGGTGTTTATCTACACTGCTATCTTGGTTCTCCTCTTTTTATTTTTTTATTTTTAAATCCCCAGCAAATACAAAGAACCAGGAACAGTGTAGGAGCTTATTTGTTGCATGAAAACATTGCCTATCCTATAATACTTTTCCATGAAAGTATATCTCATTCAGCGGTTTTGTTTTTTTAGCCCCTTTTCTTTGAAAAATGTTTGATTTAGCGATTCCTTTTAGTGTTTCAATGCATTAAACACCTTACCATGTAAACATGATAATATTGGTGTTTTACAAACTCTTTTTGTTTATAGTCTTGATAGGCTATTACTAGTCACTGGGAAATGAATATATAGACATACATTGGAGATTTGCAGGTTTGGTTCCAAATTACCAAAATAAAGCAAATATTGCAATAAAGCAAGTTACATCAATTTTGCGGTTTCCCAGTCCATATAAAAATTATGTTTACATTACACATTAGTCTATTAAGTGTATAACAGCATTATATCTAAAATGACAATATACATACCTTAATTAAAAATACTTTATTGCTAAAAAATGCTAACCATCATCATTGCTTGCAGTGAGTTGTAATCTTTTTGCTGGTGGAGAGTCTTGCCTTCAACTTGTAAAAAAATGAAATACCTGTGAAGTGCAATAAAGCAAAATGCAATAAAATGAGGTATACCTGTATATTACTCAAATTATTATATTCCTAATACAGTACTTACTGTATTAGTCTTGCCTTTCATATTGTGAAACAATAAGGTTTTGTCATTATCATTAGAGCAATGCCCAAAAATATTCAATGATGAAGCAGGGCTTCTAGGCTGCCTGAATGACTTACACGTGTTTCCTTTATATCCCATATCCTTGTATCATTCTTCCTGCTATTCTGTAGAGGAGGCTGACTTCTGTAGACTGCTTCAGCAGGCCTCCCTTTCCCTTTCGCTTCCAGTAGGCAAAGGGAGGAGAAAGAGCAAGAATGAGAGTGAGAATTGACATCCGAGCTGTTAGTTTCATGACGCCTTAAGGAAAAAAAAAAGAGGTGATATTCATTTAGATACATTTCAGCCCTTAGGCATGCTTGTTGCCATTTTAACTTTGTAGAAATTTGAAAATGCTGTCAGTTAATTTTATAGGATTTTAGAGCCTGACCTTTTAAATAGGAATATATAGTAAGTTCTCACTTGAAGTCCCCATAGGGTTCTGCAACTTTAATTGAAATGACAGACAACAAAACTCGGTCTATTATAGGCTAATTGATATAAACAAGAATTTAAGCTCCTATAATGTTATAGTGAAATGACAGTGCATGAGGTGACATTATTCAAGGACCAGTTATAATGTAAAACTTTTAAATTTACTAGCAGTTTTTGCACCTCTGCATTACTGAAGTTTGTTGCTAATCTGTTGATGGTCTATGAACCATCTATATTTAGCAAAGGTCTAACTCAAAAGAGCATCTTCAAGTGTTTTGTGGGTTAGAAAATGCATACATTATTGCAGCCTCTTCTTCATGCTTCTCCACTGCTCTTCTGGCCTGTGAGTTTTGATACTAATTGATTTCCATTTTCCTTGAAGATCGAATGCATCTTTTGTGCGGTATAGGTAGCCAACATCAGGCCAGGGAGAACTTCTGACCCTTGGGGACTCAGATTTTGGTACAGCAGTTTCATGCTAAGCCATAGGTAGTATGAGACATTTTAAACATACTTTTCAACTGATGTGACAGTTGTGCCTTTCTTTCCTAGTGAGCATAAGCATCCTGTTTTTAGGAAGATTAACAGAAAATAGCTAGCGGTTTTGCTTTGCTAATTTTTTTGTTTGTTTGTTTGTTAATCATTTATTAACCATTACACATTTAGTGTTTCATTCACTAACACTGATTGTACTGGGTCCATCCCTATAATATTAGTTACTTATTCATTCATGTATTCCATACGTTCATTCATTTTTCCATCATTCAATGTGCTTTGCTAACTTTAATAGGTGGAAGTACATTTTCCTTATAACTTGTTAGAGAAAGTTTGGGTTCATTAAAAAGTCTTTTTTTAAATGACTAAGCATTTCAAATCTTCAACTAAATGGATAAAAAATTGAGGTTTGACAAGTAAGTTAAAAATTGTGTGACAGTATTTTGATACTCAATTATGGACATTTTACATATATTTATTTATAACTAATTATACAGTTAGCAGTCAAGGATGTCTTTATAGAAGATGTGTACTGAAATGATATCTTATATTTTAGTAATGAATTTAAATTACAAATTTTACCAAAAATATGTAATTCTTATAGACCATGTTTCCTTCATTTTTCTTATGTGCAGAATGAGTCTTATATGTAGATTTCTATCATGAGTTATTCTGCTTTGACAATACGACCCAGAATCTCATTAGAGGGCCAGGGTGGAAGGGAGTGTCAGATCAAGGGCTAGATGCAGGAGACTGAGATAAGAAGCTAGAGGGGCAAAGGTGATCTATGGAACAGGTGAGCCGTAGCCATCAGAATATTGTGTGTATGGTGAGCTTGTTGTACGTGGTTAGTTCCTACCTTCTGTGTAGATTTGTGGCATTTAATAGAATGTTTCATGGTGTTATAGCTTAGAGAGAACATTGCTTAGCTGCCAACTGATTTGATGCTTGTCAAGTCTCAGAGACATTAGTATTAGAAAAGTAGCATGAGTCATCTAGTCCATTCTGCTAAATTGTGAATCATAGCCTGAAGTAGTGTTTTATCTATTATAATTTAGTATACTGTTGCAATCATTTGTAATGCTTCAGTGGTGTTCTCATTTATTTTTCTTTGGGAGGTAAGTTTAAAATATCAGCAATTGACACTAAGTAACTTGAAGAGCTTTGTAAAAGAATCTTTCAAATCCTTATGGTGGTTGTAATGACTCTTAGCTTAAGTTTTGCCAGTATCACATTGGAGATAACATAATTTTTTTTCTTTTTTCCTGCAGCAGTGATTGGGTTATTATACCCCTGCATTGACAGGCATCTAGGAGAACCCCATAAATTTAAAAGAGAGTGGTCCAGTGTAATGCGGTGCGTAGCCGTCTTTGTCGGTATAAATCATGCCAGCGCTGTATCCTTTTTGCTGTAATGAATGCATAATAACAAAGCAGCTCCCGACAAACCAAAGGTTAAGGGCCCCTTGCAACTTCACTGTTGTCAAATGGTGATATGCCCACTGAGTCATAAAAAGAATGCGCTTCGTATTGTCAAAACATCACAGTAGCATCTATATGTGTGGGATTTAGCCTCTCGTTTAAATCCCATATAACTTAGAACATTTGGATGTTTAAAACATTTACATGTTTTTCTTAAGTTAGGTTACTAAATTATTTACATATAGCTTTGGTAAATCTAGGATTGAAACAAGTAAATTTTCAAAAGATTCCTTTCCTCTTTTATCATTTAAGGTTTGGCAGTAAAGACTTGTGGTGGCTTCAGGTGCTGGTTTTTTTGTTTTGTTTTGTTTTTAATTTCAAGAACCTATAATTTTAAAACAAGACTGTTATTTATTGGTTTTGATCAACACCAGGAAACCACATACATGTTCTTAAAGGTGGCATAATAGAAATATCTAGCTTAGACCATGGTCAAAAAGAACTTTTTTTCCCTTAGTCCTTTTCTTAGTCCTCACCTGAGGATATGTTTATTGATTTAAAGAGAGAGGAAGGGGGAGAGAGAGAGAGAGAGCGAGGAACTTCAGTCTAAGAGAGAGAAACATCGATTGGCTGTCTCCCATGCATGCCTGGACCAAGGATCAAGCCTACAACCTAGGTTTGTGACCTGACTAGAATTGAACCTGCAACCTTTTGGTGTATGGGATGACACTCCAACCAGTTGAGCCATCCAGCCAGGCCAGGGACATAATTTTACAGTTTGATCATTTAAGAATTCTGACATTTTATTTAGTAATTAATGATCATTTTTTATAGTGTCCTAGCTAGAAGGACAAGTAGCTTCTATTTCCCTTCTTCCCTTCTACCTCTCAGAAAAAAATGTCTACCCCCAGAGCAAAAGTTTTTGCCCTCATAAGGCTTTCATTCTGTCATCCTCCCTACTTCTCCCTACCCCAACTTTCCTTTGTAAAAGAGGATCTGGGGAATGCTAGTTCAGTCTTCCCTCTTCTAGGAGATGTTGCTTACAGAATGGTTGTGGCGGAGCCTGTGGTATTGGGAAGAGCAGGAAGTGTGACTCAGACTGCCCACCATTTCCTCTTGTAACTGCATTGGGCTCGGCTGGTAGTTGGTTGGAGAGAAGGTGGGTCATGTGGCAGCTAGATTGCTGTGCCTTTTACAGAAAGTACTGTGTTTTGGAGAAGCTTGGGAAGAGGAACCAAGGAAAGAGCAGGGTCCTCTATGCTAAAGACACATCACATCTGCTGTTCTGTTCCCAGCGTGCTGGCCCGTGGAGCTCTGTGGATTTGGAGGGCTCTCAGTGGCTGTTATTATGTTGGTTTTCCATTTCCTTTTGTATTAAAAAATTTCCCAACATTTTTAGTTTGGGGAAAATTTTTGATATTTAGCATTTTATAACAAACAAACCTAATGATTAGGAGGACTTAAAAAGATAGACTCATGGAATATTGTATCTAGAAAAAAACTTAGAGATCACCTAGTTTCACATTTTCTTTATTAAGATAATACAGATGAAAGCTAGTGAGGTTAGGTGCTTTGCCAAGTCTTCCATCTGTAAGACTGGGCTACAGCTGAGACCAGACCCCAGAGATCCTGATTCCAGTCTGGGGAATGTTCACTCTCCTGTCAGGAGCTCCACCAGTGTGTAAATGCTCTCTATGCAGTGGACTAGACCTTTTCATCTCAGACAGTTCAACTATTTTAAGTTGAAAAATGTAAATAGCCTTTTCCTAGAATTTAAAAATGTTTATATATCTAATTTAAATTCTTTGCTTTGGTCTTTCTTTTCTTTCTCAATCAAATACTAAAGTATGGCAGTCTTAGCTGGACCTCCTTTAATCCAAACATAAAGTGTTTACATATTTATAGCATAGACTTAAATTAATTTGACTTCATAAAATCTCATGGTACTGTTTTTAAGGTTGATGTTTTACCTGTTTACCAAAGAAGCCTCCTTATTTTGCTTGGTTCTTAATGAAGTTAATTTAGTTAGCAAGACAGAGCTCAATGTCAAAATCTACTCTTTACAAGAATGTTTTTGTATAGAGAAATCAGAGCTCACAAGCTTCCTTCATGGAATTTGAGGCATTATGTCTGCTAAAGAATAAGCAAAACTTTTTCAGAAAGCATACTGGTAACCTGGAGGTTTCTTGATAAATCTAGCCTCAGCAGGGAGTGACCTCGAAGGAGAGGCCCCTGACAGCTGAGAGGTAAGCACACTGTGCTCAGGGCACCAGCTGGTTGGGTGGGGGTGTGTGGAGGGGTGAATAGCAGGGTGTTAAAGGAAGGAGGAAATGGTTTCAGATCCCTCTTTTGAACTTCTGCTTTCTTCTCTCCAGTTGCAGCATGGCCAGTTTGGCGAGATAGGTAGTCACCCCCGGAGAGCTGGAATATAGAGCCAAGATGTGGCCTTTGGGACATAGATAATGTCCTTTTAATAATACTTGAAATTAATTCCTTTAGTGTAATCCTCTAGCAAAGAAATGGGAAAATTGAATGTATAAAGCTGCGTTTTGCTCAGAGATTTTAGAATAGAAAAGGGCTGCACATTTGTGAATTGACGCTTAAGTAGGTGATGGAAATAAAATATCGTTTGTGCTAACTGTCCTATGCCAGAATGTCCCAGGCACCAAAATAGCTTGGCAGGTTGCAAGATAATATTCGCTTCAAGGCTTTATCCTCAACAAATTAAAACTAGAACAGTTGACATAATAGAAAGGGATACTGTGTCCTTGGTACTCTTGTTTCTGAACTGCATTATTATAAAATGTGTCTGCCAGTAAATCATATAGAGAATGTGCACCCTGTTAAATAGCTGTCAGCTCTTCTATTTTCGAGTTCCTGTATGATTCTCAACTAACTCTCAACCTGTTTGAGAAGTAATATTGGTTTTCTTTTTATTAAAAGTATGTTTCTGTAGTAAATCTTGTGTTCTGAGCCCACCCGTTAACATTTTTAGCAAAGAAAGCAGTTCTCATATAATGGGTCCAATCTTATAATTGGGAACGTATATAAAGTGTTTTGTCTTTGTTTTCTTAGGAATTACAGGTTGGTAGTATCTATTGAAATATCATGCCCTCTGTGTCTGAATGCACTGTAGAATAAGCAATTAATTCCCCTTTTAATAGTAGCATGTCTGATTTTAGAAAAATGAACAGATGATATTATTTGGTTATAAGTTTTAAGATGACTCTTTAACACTGACCTCAGAAAGTGGACTTTGATAACAACATACAGTTGTCTCTCACACTGGCCGCACTCTCCATTGGACTGTGGTGGACTTTTGATAGATCTCGAACTGGTTTTGGCCTTGGAGTAGGAATTGCTTTCTTGGCTACCTTGGTCACTCAACTGCTAGTCTATAATGGTGTTTATCAGTAAGTATTCATTTTGGTGCTTGTTTGCTAAAATAGATAAATGATAGCTGAATTCAGATTGAGATTTTAAAATTGGGTTAGACACGTTAATCTGAAGAGCAACTTATTTCTATTGTAATGATTTAAATAAGTATTGTACCGTTAAAAACATTTCTGTTATTCTAGATATACTTCTCCAGATTTTCTCTATGTTCGCTCTTGGTTACCATGTATATTTTTTGCTGGAGGCATTACAATGGGAAATATTGGTCGACAACTGGCAATGGTAAGCTGATGCTTATTTAATCACTTTTGTGTTATTGAGATGTAAGACAAGTTTTCTCCAAATGACAGTCCTTTTTTAAGGGAAAGCAATTTGTGAAGACAGCATTCTTTGATTTCTCTCTGCGATTCCATTGAAATAAATCATTTGGAAGAATTTAATCACAAGTATATTAAAAGTTGGAGCAACCATGGATAGGAAAGCTAAAATGTGTTATGGATAGGGTGATTTGATTTATCTTCCACCCTTTTTGTAAATTAATTTGTAGGTTTATTTTTCAAAAAGGAACAATTTTAACAGTGAAAGGAGGTTCTATTAATAACCACATTGCTACAATGACATAAATTAGAATTAGCTTCAGCAAATCAAGATGATTGATCGTTTTAGTTGAGAAGGAAGGGACATTGTTGATAACCCCAGTTATAGGTGGCAAGGGTCCGGGAGTAACATTCACAGGCCATACCAGTTTCACCAAATGGTTGCCACTTTAATCAGTAGGAGAATCGAGTGGTTTGTGATGCTGTCTTTTTGATAATCTACCCAGTTATTCTAAGTGCATTGGTTTCCTTTATTTTGAATTGTGGGTACATGTTTATAGTTGTACTTTTAAAATATTGTTTTGACTAGAAGCTTTTGCTAATGTAATAGATTTTTTCCTTTAGATTGTAAAGTGATTTGAAAAAAATATTACCTTAATTCACTGTCAAAAGTGTCAGTCCTGTCCTTAAGTTCATGACCTTCCCTTTGCTGATTCACCTTACTGAGCACTCAAAGAAACCTTTTTTGCTTTCTTTCATATTCTAGGACCCATCTGAATGATATACTGTCATTATTTGCTTGTAATACAAAAGCCTCATCTTTCCTCTGCTTTTGTCTATGCCTCCACTTCTAGAATGTGAAGTTTTCCCTCCTATCACATTTGTCATTTAATCCTAATAGTTGTCTAACTCCGAGATTCTTTGAGTAATAAAATGTGCATAGATTAATAAAGAATTAATTTTTAGATCTTTTAAGTTTAAATTGCTTTTCAAAATAAACCTTTATATGTTAATCTTTTAACCTTTTCAATTTTGCAGTATGAATGTAAAGTGATCGCAGAAAAATCTCATCAGGAATGAAGAAGGCAAAAATATATTTTTTGTATAGAGAAACAAGATGAAAAGGGCATGTACATGATAGATATACCAATGAAACTACGGATTGTAAAATTGCCAGTATGCAGTTTTTACTGTGATTAATATATATATATACATATATATGTACATATATATGTATATATATGTATATATACACACACATATATTCCTGCAATCTGTGATTGCTTCCTCTGTAAATCAGCTACAAACCTTGTGTATTTGACTTAACTGTAAGATATATATGCACTACATTAAAAATGTCGATTAATAGATGAAATTTTTAAATTAATTTTTTAAACATACTGTATATTGTATCACAATGTTGATGTGCCAAAATATTCTCTTACTGTCATGCAGAGTATAAGAATGCTTTGAACAGTTATAAACTTAGTGTAATAAAATAAGAGGAAAGCCAAAAAAAGAAATGGAAAACTGGTATATTCTCTTTTGCTTACTGTTGTTCCTGTTTATTTTTCTAATTACAGCAGTATGAGTTATGGGTGCTCTAATGTGTAGTTACTTTCTACACATTGGGGCAAAAGTAGTTTTACAGTTGTTCATATGGAAAATAATACAATAATTAATAAATAATAATACAAGAATAAACTGTTTCGCATACTCACAACTATAAACCTACTTTTGCCCAACCCTATATTTTAATGTTGTTTCAGAGAACTTTGGATGTTTTAATATATAATGAAGATGAACTTCCATAGAACATTTTTCAAACCTGCATTACTGGAGAGAGTCCAAAGAGTAATTTTCTGTTTTGGCAGATTTTACTGGAGGTAAAAGTGATGAGCAGAAAAGGCTATCAGCATTAAAGTTTTTCTCTCTGAACCTAAAAGAGTACATATGTATAAATAAAAGTAATGACCATTGGGGAATTTACCTAGAATAAATGTATGTTTTAGAAATACAAAATGACCTTCTGCAGTGCCACAAAGTGTTGAGTAATATTAACTGTTATTCGCAATATAGAATCCTTCTGCTTTTGTACATGGAACACCTAAAAAATCCCAAACAGATCTAAATGAAGTTTCTAATTCTATTGGGTTCTGTCCTTGGGTTCCAAAATCTATTGGGCTGTATAAATTAAACCACTTTGGTTGTGCTGGGTCATTGTCAGAGGAATGCCATCTGGGGAATGCCTGGGCACATAATTTCCTATCTATTCATATGCCATTAGTGAATAGTTCAAACCTGTTTAAGAATGTATTGAGATGGCATATTATGCATGTTAGAAATCTTGATAACAATTTTGTGCATTTTTTTAAAACACAACGAGTCATTTAAATATGGCTTGAATATATTTTTAGTTAACTTTTCCCTCACTTTTCAGTTTTGAAATTGATGGCAATTTTTTGATACACAAGGATGAATGAAATCTGCTTACTCTGTGTTTGTGTTTGTGTGTGTGCGTATGTGCTGAACTGAGTGAGAGAATATATGTGTGTACGTATATGTATGTGCATGTGCCCATGCTCTTTTGACATGTTAACTAGAAATTTAAAAAAAATTTGGATATAAAACCGTTGCTGTCAGACTGAGATCTTGTATGCCAAACTTTAATGTGCTTTTTGCATTTTAAGGCTGAAAGTGTTAAAATCCTAAGAGGATTTGATATTGAATAAATGTAAACAATCTTAACTATAGTGGTGGTTAACATACTACTATAATTTATTATTCTGTCTTCCAGATAATGTTATTCATTTAGAACAAAAAAGTATATTTTTAGAATCAACTTTGTAAGCACTATAAATCTTTAATAAGTTATAAGGTCTATGATGTGTTTACTTTGAAAATTGCTGTTAAAAGCAAGGTGTATTAAATACATAATTATATTCTTGGTTAAGAGTCTTTTTTTCTTTCTTGTGTTAAGTCATAGAATATAGTAATGAAGATTAATAAAATTAAGATGTATGGTTGATTTTACTAGGATATGATGAAAGGAAATTAAGTTTAGTTTTACAGTAATTGAATGATGTCATTTTGGGGTTCTTAAGTTATTTTCAAATCATCTAGAAAATATGAAAAGATGTGGCAAAAGTAAAATTGATTTGAAATTTTGATAAGTATATAGATATATTACATCTTTTTTGCAACAAAAGTAAGTAGTAAACATCTTTTAACATTGTTATATTTGGAGTGCTTTCTTTTTGTTTTGTTCTGTCATCAACATTTTTATTTAGTGTAGCATATGGCAGGATGTAAATATGCCTTTCTTATTAAGGGCAGGCTTTTGTATAACTAAGATTTGTGGACAACATTTTATACAACAACAAAAAAGTAAATCTGTAAACTATCAGAAAAGGAAAATAAACATTTAATTTAAATTATAGAGGGCAGTTACAATGAAACTCCATCACTTTTCTAGCTCAAGTTTACAAAATAAAGTCAATCCTGATAATATCACTCCTAACACAAATACAGAACCCAAACCTTAGAAATTGGCTGTTATTCCCAAGCCTTGAAAATAGGAGATAATAAAGATATTGAATCAAAAGCATATATAGGCAAAAACATAATATTGATAAGTGGTTGCATTGTTGGGGCGTGTTGCAAGCTAAACACATGTGAAGTCATCCCTGAGAATACAGCGGTCTGTGCCGTAGTCTGCCTTTGTCAGGGGCAGACTGAGCAACCACAGCCCTGGCACCGCAGCTGGATTTCCTGATGAAAATCTTGCCAGACTACCACCATTGACAGAAGACTGTGAAAGACTCAACTCCAGTTAAGGACGAAGAACAAGCCATGACATCAACATTTTCTCTTCAGCCACCATCTTTTGAAAGGGTCAAGTTTTTATGTCCTCTTGGCAGGTCACAGCATTGACTTTATTTTGTAAACCTGAGTTAGAAAAGTAATGGATTTTCATTGTAACTGCCCTCTATAATTTATATAAAATGTTTATTTTCCTTTTCTGATAATTTACAGGTTTACTTTTCTTTTGTTACATAAAATGTTGGCCACACATTTTAGTTATACAAAAGCCTGCCCTTAATAAGAAAAGGAATATTATGTATTTACATCCTGCCATATACTACGCCTCTTGGCCTGGCCTCTGCATGATCCGTACTTTTGGGTGGATTACTGTCCTAGGTCCTACATAACTTTCTTACATACACAACTACTCCAGAAGCAATCTTCACACTGTTTTGAGTCTTCTCCACCCTGTTTTTGCTCGGGTCTCCAATTGGAGCTGAGATCAACATAAGTGCCTGGGAACTGATCTCTACTGCATTGCTTTTTTGCTTTTACTACTTAAAGTTTTAGAAATTGAGGAGTTGAACTGAGACTACACAAGAAAACAATTAAAATTAGCCGGAACCCTGCTGATACTTCTGTTATAAAATTTGTTTGCACTGAAATACATTATCATCTTTAAGGTTTTTGAGTGATGCATGCATTTCACACATCTTGTATTTTCTAGGTAGAATCCAGACTTAGTCAGCATCATTAAATACCTCTCTGGTTTTCTTGGCTCACTTACCTGTATAATGGAGTGTATTCTTTGCAAGATAATTCTTTCAGTAATGGTCTTTGAACAGTAGAGGCTTACCTGTGTGTGTCTGAAAAAGTCTATTTCATTCTTGAAGAACAATTTAGTAGGCCATAGCATTCTAGGCTCACAGTTTCCTCCCTACTCCCATCACTTTGAAGATTTTTAAAAAAATATATTTTTATTGGTTTCAGAGAGGAAGGGAGAGGGAGAGGGAGAGATAGAAACATCAACGATGAGAGAGAATCATTGATAGGCTGCTTCCTGCATGCCCCCAACTGGGGATCGAGCCCACAACCCAGGCATGTGCCCTTGACTGGATTCGAACCCAGGACCCTGCAGTCCTCAGGCTGATGCTCTATCCACTGAGCCAACCAGCTAGGGCTCCTTTTTATGATCTATTTTTAAAAA